TTTACCCAGGGTGGTTAGGGAAGGCCTCTATGAGGAGATGTATGAACCAAATCCCAAATGATGTGAAGGAACCTTCCATGCAGAAAGTTTGAAATCTGTAAAAGTTCATGGGGGATGTGAATCTTGAAGAGCACTGTCCTGTTTTGAAAAGTGAGGGAATAAGAGGAGATAGAAACACTGTGGGTAAGACAACGGCTTTTGGGCCACTTATATGCAGTGTGTGGAGTGCTTTGAATGAGGTTGGCAGAGGAAAGTGCCCTTTGTATGGGATCGAGGTCTCTGGTGCTGGCAAAGGCTTGGTGGCATACCGGCAACTAACTGCCCTGGCCTGAGGAATCTGGTTTCCTCAAGCATAAAATGACAAGTTTGGACCATGCACCTCCAGACATGCTTTTGTCTCTTGTGACTGATTCTATCTGATATTTATTGACATTTCTTTTTTTCCCCTTTTCTCTTATTTATTTATTTATTTTTATAGATTTATTGAGTAGAAATACTGTTTTGTGAATATATTACATAGTGGTCTGGGCTTTTAGTGTAACTGTCATCCAACTTCTTGACATGAAAGGAGGATTATTAGTTGGTAAAATACATTATTATTTTTGTGCCTACCCATATATCAAAATGCAGAATTTACTCAGTGTACTAATCTTTAAAATGAAATTTATTTAAGAGTTAATAATTTTTATACTTCTCCAAAAACAGCACAAACCCTGTATTGGTTAATGCCATGTGCTAATGTATTCTTGCTAATGAAAGGGCATCTTACCTTACCTCTAACCTCTCAACAGTAATAAGATATAAGCTGTAACTTTTAAGATGCCATCCTTTATAATGGTTCTCATAAAATAGCCCTAACTCAAGCTACCCATTAAACTGTGTTGGATCGTTTTTACTATTTCATTCTTGGTAATTTACATGTCAAGGACATTGTGCATTCTATAAAAAGAAAGAAAATATTAAAACATGTGGAAACCAGTCAGTCTATTTAACCTAGATAGATATTCATTTCAGGTTGTAGAGGAAATGCTGGAAATCTTCAGTAATACAGAATTTATTATGATAGTGTATTGCTTTTTTTGAAGACTGATAATTGTGATTTGGTTTAGTTTTGATTTAGAGTTAGTTTTGCTCAAAGCAGGAATTTCAAAAGCTATAACTATGAAACATAGCTACATACTCCTATTTTCATCAGTTAATGAAATTATACAGTTGCAGGTGCTTGGATTTGTCACACATTCAATAAATACTTTAAAAACATTTGTTGTATTGCAAGTGTTGGAGATGCAGTTGCCCCTCATAGTCCAGAACATGTGAGTAGCTCAGAGAGAAATTTCAGAAGAAGTGATAAAACTAACAGTTCCTAACATGAGGTTGATATTCTGTCAGCCAAAGTTTAGCTTTTTTTTTCTTTTCATTGCTCTTTATTTTATATATATATATATATATATATATATACACACACATATATATATTTTTAAGATGTGGGGTACAATTCAGTATTAGGTACACAAGTGGACATCATGGAGGTAACGTTTGGACCTACCTTTGGTCCTCACTTTTCCTGGTTTGGGATCAGGCATTCTTATTGATGTTATGTGCCCCCCAACCCAACCCTGGCAGTATCCCACTGCTGCCAATACTCTTCTTATAGTATTATGGTAAATGTTTAGGGTCCACTTATGAGTGAGAACATGTGGTACTCAGTTCTTTGTTTCTGTGATAGATCACTGTGTTATTATAGACTCTAAATCCATCCAAGTTGCTGTGAAGTCCATATGTTTGTCCTTTGTCACTGTACAATATTCCATCATGTATTTGTGCCACATTTTTAAAATCCAGTCCAGTTTTGATGGGCAGTACAGTTGGTTCCATGTTTTTGCTATTGTGAATACTGCTGCAATAAACATGTGTGTGCAAAAAAGAAAAAAAATTATTCTTTTTTGTAGAATGATTTGAGTTTCTCTGAGTGTATTCCCCGTAGGGGGGTGGCTGGGTCATATGGAAGGTGAATTTCTGGTTAGCTTTTAAAGAGCATTGGAATAATAGATTTATTACTTTAACATGAAGAGATACATGTGCTTTTTGAATGTGCTAATTGTTTTAAAAATTAAAAACAAAACCTTTGGAAAACTACAAATCTTCCTTGAGATAATTTTACTCAAAACATTTACCTCATCCCTGATTTAGCAGTCATTCTTGTCGGAGATTCAAACTTGAAATTAATCGGGAAGGGGTTAGGATAGGGGAGGGACTCAAATCATTGAGCACATGTGTTCCAGACGCTGGATCTGTGACAAAGTTCTACCTGATGTACTCCCACTGTGTCTTGTGGAATTGGCAGATGCTGTATAGTCAGTCATTCTTTGCCTAGTGTTTAGTAATGGGCTCCAAAGAAAAAATCTTAAGAAAATGTTTGATGCAAGACCAATGTAACTTTAGCCTGATAGCCTAAGGGAATTACTAGATGATTTTAATTAGAGGAGTGGTTAACTTTCATTTTGAAAATTTTATTCTGACCATGGTATGGAGAATAAATTAGGAAATGAGCAAGTATGGGGGCAGAAACAGCAGAGAATGGAGCAATATTAATAGTTTAGGAAAAAGGAAGTGAAGATTGAGATTACGCTGACAGGGTAGATTTGAAAAATATTTCTCATATTTAGTAAACAGATGTCTAGAAATATTTTGCTGTTTCGGAGGTGGTATTTGTTTGCTTTTATTTAGAGAAGATGGTTTAATTAGAAAACATGCTATGTAGATTGACAGGAGTGACTGAAAAAACCTATTCTGTCTGCTCTGTCTGTTTTCAGAGAATTGACTTTTGAAATGTGTAGACAAATCATTTAAATCTTTTTAGAGCATAGCTTCAGTTCTGAGACATGAAATATTTTGAACAATGAAAGTGGCATTTTGTAGCGAATTTGACATTAACAGATATAAGGTGTATTAAAGTGTTTTGTTTATAAAACTTGAGAACCTTCATGACATTTTATATGTCATGAAATACTAGACTTAACCTTTCTCAGGGATACTGAAAGTCTGTTGATTGTGCTTAAATTGCAGCATTCTAATTGTCTTGCTTTATTATATTTTAAATTAGTCAATAACTTGGTTGACATGTGTAAACTCTTGTACAAAATTGAGAAAGTTTATTATTAGAAATAATTTAATAGAAATGACTTCATATATGGCATTTTGGTAAACTTTTTTTTTTTTTTTGAGTCTGCCCAGGCAGAAGTGCAATGGCATACTCACGACCACTGCAACCTCGATTTACTGGGCTCAGGTGATCCTTCCTTCTCAACCTCCCAAGTAGCAGGAACTACAGGCATGCGCCACCACACCCAGCTAATTTTTTATTTATTGTAGAGACAAGGTCTTGCCAAGTTGCCCAGGCTGGTCTCAAACTCCTGAGCTCAGGTAGTCCTCTCACCTCAGTCTTTCAAAGTGTAGTTTTCCAAAGATTTTGTTTTCAATTTTTAAAACAATTAGCATTTACTTTTTTTTTTTTTTTTTT